TAATTTTACTTTTAGAGAGCTGTGGAAGTTGCTGATAATGCCTCTAAGCTTTATGAAGATAATGATGGGTCAGTACATCGACATAAACTCACAATCATATTGACATTAAAAAAAAACTTCAACTTACTTTGAGACCGACAAAAAAGGGACACTAGCTTAAATTGTATATGAGGTAGCACATGATAGCATTTAAATAGCTAAATTAAAAGACTTGACTACAAGTTCAATATATACTGCTGACAGCACTATATTGGCCAAAACAGCTGTCCACAGTTTTGAGTTGAGATAACTCACAATTGTCTTAGAAAGACCCACTGAATGACTTTTGAAGTCATCATTTCAGTGTCCTTAGTAGAAAAAAAGTAAACAGCTGTTTTAGCAGAAGTAGTAGCGCATTTAGACCGTTCAGACACAGATATCAGACACAGCTATAGACAGCCTTTGAGTGACAGTGTATACATAGTACAGTGCAAGTCCTATCTAATTCTTGATTTATTGCTTGTTTTAGGCTTAGAAAGGAAGAAGTTCATGCCTTATCAGGACCAAATGAATTTGCGGAATTCTACAGCAGACTGCGAAGCTTGAAAGAATATCACAGAAAATATCCTAACGAGGTATTTCAATTTATTAACCATACGTAATATACGAGGTATTTCATTTTATGAACCATGCGTAATATACAGGCATGTCGTAATTATGCGCAGATGCACATAATTGTCCCCTTTCTGCATAATTTACACAAATGTGGTAAAAATAATGTTATACAACCAACCAATGGCAATCTAATGTACATGCTATTTTCAAGATTGCAGAGCCAATGCAGATGGAGTTTCTAAAGTTAAAAGACAGCGATCATGGTGATGAAAATACAGGTAAAAGACCATAGAGGGTTTATTTTTGCACTGGAAGCCCATCCTTTGTCATATAKGATACATGTTCAATAAGAAATCATTGACAAGTTATCATTGTAGAGAAGGCTAYGTCAGTGGAATTAAAGTAAAACATTTATACGTTTGTTTGTGTGAGCCTTGTCTTCAATACCCTGGTTCCAGAGGTTTGATATTTTCTCTCTTCACTATTTTTTTACGGCCTTGATTACGGTGTGAAAGCGCCAACAAAAACAATAGTGAAGAGAGAAAATATCAAACCTCTGGAACCAGGGTATGTCTTCAATTCTTTTGTGACTGCTTGCAATAGAAAACTTCAATATTTTCCCTTAGGTTTGGTTGAGTTTACTGATGAAGAAGGATATGGCAAATACCTGGATTTGCATGAGGTCTATGATATGTATTTAAATCTGAAAGGAATTGAGGTAAGTGTTTGGGTTACCTGTGTAATTTCTCTACAGGAAGCCAAGCTGGCAGCTTGTAAAATAAATCTTTTGATTTTACATTTGTCTTTATAGAGAATTGACTACCTGACTTACCTGGACACCTTTGACCGRTTATTTGACATCCCTAAAGAAAAGAAAACCACCGATTACAAAAGGTATTTTTAATGTGATTTTTTTATGCGTAAAATGATCAAAATGTCAGTACATTTCTGATCTTGTTATACTTTATAAACGATAATTACTTTCATTTTTATTTATGTTTTTGAAAAATTGAAATCACAAAAACACTTCAGTCTACAGTAACATTCCAGACATGCTCAGGGTTTTTTCAACCAATTATATTGAAACCACATTTAAAAATTATTTTATTTGTGTACATTTAGATACCTTCAAAGTTTGTTAGACTATCTCTATGGTTTTTTCCAACGGATAGAACCACTCCATGACATAGACAAGGTAAAATTCAAAGTGTTTCATAAAAACTTTTTTCTACTGCTATCACCCAAAGTACATGTACTTCTTGAATTTATTGAGTAAATTTGATACTTTTTATACTATATTATATTACTTTTAATAGGAATTATCCAGCTTATCACAAGAGTTTGAGGTTCAGTGGTCTCAAGGAAAATTTCTGGGATGGCAGGTTTGT